AGTGGATTACACATTCATGTCAATGCATCTATAAGCTTCCAGGTGACTTGTCTTTAAATTCTTCCATAATGCAGAATTCAAAGAAAGTTAAGGTTTTCCATAGCAAAATGGTGTGAGAATGTAGGACCAACTGGCTTACAACTGGGAACATTTACCACCATCAAGAAACTCCAATGCGGGGGCAGGAAGGAAGCAAAACTATATGGCAAGAGAGAACAAAGACAGTTATTTTATGGATGAAGAGTCATTTTGACCAAATGTACTGATCCATTGGTGGGAAAGAGGACATTAGGGAAGAGATGGGGCAAACATTCTGGTTAGATGAATTTTAGGGCTGTGCAAAATGTTGATGGACATTTTGTTTCAAAAGCGTTTCAACACGTTTTAAGCTCGGAACACCAAAATGAAACATAGGGCTTCAAAACAGCTTTGAAACGAAACAAGGGCACTCAAAACATTTAAAAAATGTCAAAGCCAGGCTTCCAGGGAAAAACAAACTAAGAGGGGGGAGGGGAAGACTGCTCTCAGATTGACTGTGTAGGTGGCCAGTGACTGTGATCCTTCCCTGAGGTCCCTTCCAATCCCAGTGCTCTGGGGGAGGGACAGAGAAGGAGCATAAAAGCATTGTTTGAAACAAGCTGTGTCAGCCATGCCTTTGTCAGCTTATGAAAGCTGTGTCTGCCAGCAGCATCAAGAGCATCAGGAAGGCCCTCACTTCCTACTTGCTAGTCTGTTCCTAGCATGTGGGATCCAACCCTTTCCAAAATACCTCAATACCCTTTCCTAATCCATTCCTTTCAATTTATTTCTCCCCCCAAATCCTGTTTTTGTTATTCTTTGTAATTCTCTCTCTCTCTCTCCACATAAAAGAAATCTGTGTTTTCCCTGACAGTCTGCATATGTTGTGCTTTCCTGCACAGTCAATGTTACAGAAGGGACTAGCATCCCTGCTGTTTTCATCCTGCTTTGCCTTCTCTCACACATACGTCAAGAGTTTCTCTCTGAACAGCTTGATGTGTGGTTTCCCAGAAACCCCTACACCTATCTCCTTGAAACTTGACAGGCTTCATGGCCTCAGAAGGGGCTACCATCCCTGCTGTTTTCATCTGAATTAGGCAAGAAACGACAAAGTTATAGGCATTTTTGTGATTCCCCATTATAGCCTATGGGTGAAACGTGTTGAAACAGCAAAAGTTTCAGCGAAACGAAACAGAATGGAACTTCAAAACAGCAAAATGAAACACCATACCTTTGAAATAGTGAATCTGAAATGGAAATGAAATGTTACCATTTTGCTCAGTCCAGTCTCTATCTTATTTTATGTTAGGAACAACGAATCATTAGTTTACTGAAGACTGAACGGCAAGTCTATTGAGGTCTTGAAGAGGCAAGAACACACTCATGTGGTTCTTTGCCAGATCAAGGTAAATTTGAATGTAAAAAGTTAACTCTTTCCATGTCTGGTTGAAACATTTCAAGTCTTCAACACATTTCATAAACTAATCATTTTTCCCCTCCTCCTCCAAATACCCTGGAGCTTTAGTTTATATTACTGACTAATGGTCTGAAACACTTCCATTTATTTTTCAAAGACTGAGTTACAGTAGGAGAGGACAGAAAGAAGCTGAACACCACAGTTTCTCATTCTCTGCTCTAATACAGATTAAAAATAGGTATAAGGCAGCAAGATGGTTTTTGTGCAAGAGTTATAAGATGCAAGCTAAACGTTCAGGGTTAAAAAAGTCTTAATTTTAGTCTTAAAAGTCTTAGTTAAAAAGTTTCTTAGTTAAGGAAGTAAGGTACAGGTAACATTTCACATTAAATTTGATAAGGTAATTGGAATGCAAGAATTATTCTTTCCATCAAACCTGTGTGTCCAGGTATTAGACTTCAGAAAGATGATATGCAAATGTTATAGACAGATGTATTCGGCTGCTATATACCGGGAAATTCTGAAATGTAAGTTTACTGGAGGACAAAGCTTACTCATTTCATGTTGCAAATGCAGAAAGTGCATTTTGCAATTTTAAACTAACTCTCAGATAGGTTGCTGAAAAGATGATTTTAAAAGGTGCCCAAATGCTTTTGGGCCCCAGGCCATACTGTATTACCTCGCAGTTTCAAAGATCTCCCTTCCTCTCTGAAGAATGGAATGTTTATTGCTCAGAATGTTCTGCCACATTATCACAAATGTTTTGTGAACACTCTGCTTCTTGAAATATTAAAATATGTTTTTCAGACCTGCTTTCTGTTTATTCTACACCAACTATCAAGTTCTTGAGAAATCCTGTTTCAATAATCATTAAATCTTGGTCAGATATCCTGAGACACCAATATAAAAAAGCTTCCACAGAAATTAATAATGAAGGAGTTCACACCATCTACTGTGCAATGGAATACTGTATCAATAAGATCTTAGAAGAATTACATGTTGTTTTGTAAGAAGTCTGATTTTGGAGATAAGTGAGATTTATAAGACAAATATTGATACATATGTTAAAAAACATTCCATTCAAGCAACAAACCAAGAGTTAATTTCATATGTTGAAATTACTTTACTTTATCCTTTATCACTCAATTGAAAAGTGTTGCTCAAAAATGTAAAAGGACCTTCAAAAGTTTCCTTAAAAGAGGATGAATTGCTTTGCCTATGTAGCTGTGTTTGTTCTGTTCCACTGTAGCAGACAACACTAAATTGGGTGGAGTTGCAGATACATTGGAGGGTAGGGACATGATCCAGAATGACCTATAGACTGGAGAAACAGTCTGCAATCAATCAGATGAGATTCAGTAAAGACAGGTACAAAGCCCTGCACTTGAGACTGAATAATTGCATGCAAAAATAGAGACCAGGAACAATTGGCTAGCTTGCAGTACTGAAGAGAAGGACCTGGGGGCTACAGTAGACCATAAGCTGAATATGAGTAAAGACATGCTTTTTTTTTTTTTTTTGAAACAAAAAGCCAACAACATACTAGGTTGTATTAACAGGCGTGTCACTTGAAAAATCAAGGGAAGGCAATTCTTCTACTTTATCTGGTATTGGTAAGGCCTCTTTTGGAATAATACTGTGCCCAGTTCTGAATCCCACACTTCAAGAATGATGTGGAAAGTCTGGAGAGCAACAAAAATTATTAAAAGCCTGGAGAAGAAGATTTATGCTGAAAGAGCTAGGGTTATTTAGTGTGGAGAAAAAGAATTTGAAGGCAGATCTGATAACAGTCTTCAAATACCCAAAGGGCAATGTACAGAGAGGATGGAGATGAGTTTTTTTCTGTGATTACAGAGGACAGGACTAGGAGCAATAGCCTCAAACTTCAGCAGGGGAAATTTAGGTTAGAGATTAGGAGGAACTTTCTGACAGGGTGGTTGAACAGTGGAACAGGCTACCTAGAGAAACTGTGGAACCGCCATCCTTGGCAGTTTTCAAGGACAGGTTAGAGAGACACTTTTCTGTCACGGTTTAATCACGGACAATTCTGCCTCAATCAAGGGGCTGGAGTAGATGACCCCATGGGGTCCTGTCCAGCCCACTTTCTTATAAACCTATGAATGTAGGATAGCAAAACACCATCATGTGTATGGGTGTGAGTGGGTGTTATCTGCAGGAAGATCTGTATCCAAATCATTTTAAAAGTACCGCTATAGTAACGATTATTGTTGGCAAGAGAGTACTGGTTTCCTCCATTTTCCATGGGTTGAGTACAGATATGGGCTCCTTTCCAAAAATCCAGAGTCCTTCAGAAGCACCCTGTCACAACCAATCAGATTAAGGCCAGAAACAGACACCACAAAATTAAGTGGATCAGCTGTGCTCAGATGTCCCAGCACAGCTGATCCACTTCACTGGAACAAGTCACCCATTTGTCCTTCAAGATCAATTGGCAGGACCCCATGTGAGATCTTCTCCACTTCCTGGAGATTTCTGTGGACATGTCTCTGCAAGTGGGTACCCTGACTTTCCCCACTTCCAGAAACTTATTCCATGATCTCCAGGGTGAGTCTCTAGAAGGGGGTAGAGTACTGAGGGTGCATCTTTGCAAGTGGCGAAAGTCAGGCAGGTGTTCTTGAGGGGCCTGATCCCACCATAAAGCAAAGAGACATACACTGCTGTAAAGCAGCACAATTTATTAATTACCTTTCATCACGGCTTCACCGAGGCCATGACAAAAAGTATTATTTGCTGTCTATTTGCTGTTCTCCTTTGTACTGCCATAAAAATTGTCATGCTAGCACAAAGGCAACAAAAGGCAACGAAAAGCAATATCCTTTTCTACCCTAAGGAGCTTACCTGGCCTACATAGTCATCCTGGCACAAATTGAATATTTCATTTAGAAATTTTAAAAAATTAAATAGTTATGAATCAGAGTCCACACACAGATGCAAATATACACATGCTGATGCCCCATCCTGTACTTTATACCAGGACTGTTGTAGTCCAATTAATTTATAGGTTTATACTAGGGTGCCTGTATTAGGCAATGCTGTTTGAACCCATTTCCTTAGCTCATGACAGTTTAACCAAAAGGCAGGCAGAAACACAGTCTAGGTCAATTAGAATTAAAAACAGATCCTGTCTTCCTCACTTCTCTGAATTAGGGAAGCTGGTTTGGCATTCCCAGGACCACCTGGGCTGCTGATACCCTGTGGGATTGCTCATAGGTGAGCTACTTTGTTAAGGATTTGTGGAGTCTGTCACAACCCCAGAAATGCTGCTCTCAATACTGAACAGATAAAAAGTTCTTTCAAATAAATCACAGTTCGGTATCATCATTTGGCTTCAAATCTGCTAAATATAAAACACTCCTGTTATACAGGCACGCTCGCCAATACACCATTAGTAGCTGTATTTAGTTTAGCATGTAATCTTATTCATGTTTATTTTTTCTCTAAATGTTTAACTAGACTTTTGGGAGTTCCCTCCTCCTTTTTCCTGACAGGTGTGGACAAAGATAATTCAGCATAAGATGGAACAAATACACATGAGCAATTTCAGCACCTCCAGCCCAGATGCAATGTTTGAATCCAGTGGTCTTTTCTTCCTTGGTCCAATGGCTGCCAAGGCCGTGAGGTTGGCTTCTCTCTGTTGCATCTGTGCCAGCTCCAACTGTTGCATCTAGTTAAAAAAAAAAAAAAAAGTAGATATGAAGCATGGCATATGGTATAATGAGGGGCCACTTATATTAACCCAGCTTCAAACATCTGATCAGTCTTATGTTGCTTATAAAATCCACAGAATGGCTTTCAGAATTTATCGAGACCATCAATTCCAGCAGTCAGACCCACCATTATAGTAGGCATTTTAGGAGGCTAGCAAATGCTAGCCCCAATTACTTCAGCTGTGTTGTGAGAGAGAACATTCAAGATCAACATTGTACCATGGATTCTAAACTTAACACAGTTTAATCATTTTTTAAAATCATGATTAAACAAAATGACCTAAAGTTTGAGATTATTTAGTACTAGCTTAAGTGACCAACAGTTAACATTAAAGGTATTTGTACATGTTTGCACTGCAGCGCCGGGCGCTTTTAAAAGCTCCTGGCACTGTGGCTCATGCAGTTGCATAAGCAGTGAAATGTGCGTCAGAGCTGAGAAAATAGCCAGGTGTTTGGAAGGTGTTTTAGTTCAAACAGCACCGCCGCCATCTTCTGTGTGGTGACATGCATTTTGCTGCTTATGCAACTGTATGTGACGCAGCGCAGCGTGCGCATCAGCTCATGCGTGGAGCAGTCTTGATTAATCACGTCTACTCTGATCCACTGGATCTCTGGCACATCACAGGATGAAGAGGTATGTGTATAAAATTTCTCAACTTTGAACCAGTAATACTACACTTGGCAACTGCACAGGTTTTATTTCAACAAGAAAGATATTCTGAAGTGGATGATTCATTTCTTGAAGTTAATTTCTATTTCAGTTATCTGAAGCTCAGTTATCTGAATCGAGGCCAGGCCCCCTTGACACCGTTACTCTGAAAATTTATCATCCAACTATTCTGGAGTCCCTTGACATTCAGATAATTGAAGTTGAATAGGATGTGTGTAGCTCTTTCATCCTTTCACTTGTTTGTTTTTCAAAATATATTTGGACTCTTTTGGAATACATGCATGATTCCTCTATATACTGATTTTCAGTTGTTCATTAAAGGCAAAAATCCCTCAAGTCAAAATTTAGCAGAATGGAAGCAATTCAGTGATTAAATATGGGTGAGGCGGTAGTGTGAAATTTGTTTAGTTGAATAGGATTTTTAAACTAGAGTTTAATATATATTAAACTTCAACTGCTGCTGGCTCCAGCTGCTCACCACCCCCTGCGACCCTGCACAGGTTGATATGCCCCAGGCCCTGCACACCCCTAGGGACGGCTCTGCCCGTGGGTCCAGAAATTTGGCAGTGGGAGAGCACTGGAACTGTACCCCTACCACCAAACTTCCAGACCTGTGGAGAGCCCCAGGCCCTTTGCACCAGATTCCAGCATGCAGAACTGGGCAAGCTCTCCCATGGAGAGCCCCAGGGCCCAGTCCTGGTGCAGAGGGTGGGATGGGGTGGCACCAGCCCCCTGTCCCCCTTCCAAGACCCCTCCTGCACACCAGGGTTAGGGCAATGCTGGACCACAACCCAATCCTAGCTTGCAGGCCAAAAGGTTCAGCACCATTGGTATAAATTAACATTTCCAGGAGTGCTTATGAGAATTAACTTCCTAAAACCCTCAAGGGGTGTTGGTTGTAGACGTGTTGGTCTGAGGACATAGGCAGCCAAGGTTCTTTGGGTAAACTGGATATCTTCTATTAGATCAACTCAAATAGTTGGAAAGATTGTTTCTACCTGAAAGCTTGCAAAGAAGAATTTTTCCAACTATTTGAGTTGATCTAATAAAATATATCCAATTTACCCAAAGAACCTTGTCTTCCTAAAATGCTTTAACCCTCTCGAATAAAAATTACCAGCAATGTTTGAAACTGATAAAAGTTATCTGCAGTTGCCTTAATACAAAGCTGTTTTTTATTAAGTCTTAATATTAATGTGTCCAAATAAAAAAAAAAAAACATTAAAAAAAAAGCAAAAAACCCATTTAAGTAAACTTGAAAAAAAAATATAGGAAGTTAGGAGCCTTACTTGAAAAATTCAAATAAAAATGAAAAAAAAGAACAAGTGCAACTGGATTCATAAGAAGCAGTAAAATACCAGAGTCAGCAGTTAGATTTCCAAGTTCAAGTTTCCTAGATCTAGAATGTTTGAAAAATATCCAACCTTGTTGGCATAAAGCTGAATTTTTTACTAAATTGTACAACTCTAAATTATATAGGCATTCATACTGGCACATTTTCCAATAGCTTTGCTCACTTGCATGCCACAGTGCACTTGCCAGCAGACCATCATCCACAAGGCAGTTATATTGCATAGTACGTATGTGGCATCTTTACCCGAGCAGATACAAGTCAACACAGTAGAAGGATAAAGTTTCAGAGAGAATCTCAGAATGAAATGGTAGACAGAGTAGCAATACTAGAGTATCACAGGAGAAGGGTGAGTACAAATAAACAGCCTACACAGTTGTTCTCAACATCAGGTCATTAAGTCAAAGGCTCAAGTTTTCAAAAATGGGTGTGAAAAGTCAGGGAGGCCGAAGTGATGCTGATCCTACGCAGGCTTCATGTGAATGCACATTTGCACAACTCGCAGAAACATGGGGTGGGGAATTTCCTAAAAAACAACAACAACAACAACAAAACCAAAACACAGCAGGTGGCACTACCATTCCTTATGCACTTGTGGGAGGAAGACAACTTTGGTGGAAGGTGTGGAAAGACTAATTTCTTTACAATAGGGTCATGGCAAGGTGAAACCTAGGAAGTACATGTACAATCTTAAGAAGTATAGTTAGTGGCTGGTAGAGGAGCTTTTGGCATGACCAGGCATCCCCAGGAAGTGGACCAAGGGCCACATCACTTCACGATATGGTGAAAAGTTGGTGGCCTAGTTGAACTTTTCTGACCAGTACTCCTCTTATCCCATTTCAAATACATAAGATGACACTGTACCAGGCACCATCCTTTTCCCCTGGCAATGAGTTACTTTAGGGTTGAGAATGTTTTTTAGATTATCAATCTTGATGCAATTTATAATCAGGAGATGGTAGTGAACGTGGCAATCACTAAAGCTGGCAAGATCCCTCTCCTTTTCCTGACCCATTTCATCTACTGATACAGACAATGCTGCCCTCCTGCCATCGCTCCCCCCCCCCCAAAAAAAAATCACATCTCAAAATAGCAGCAAAGGGGAACAACCTTCAGACAAAGAGCAAGTGAGAACATGTTCGGGAACATTCCCCCATCCCCGTCACATTCTTTTTTTTAAACACACTAGAGAATTACAAAGATTTCTAAAAACCTATATAAAGATCAAATTGCTAGGAAAACGTCTCAGAAGTTGTAAAATAGTCTTTGTTGCTGCTGGCCTTTTTAATAATAAAAATACGGTTTTAAAGTCTGGTCTTGCAGCAGTCAGGAATTTTGAGGGTGACACAATAACCATTTTAGCTAATCTGACCTGCAGCACAAATCAAGAAGGTACATTTTTTAGCCCTTCCTTATAGTGAAATGGCATTTGCAGCATAGCTGTAATCACACAAAATGAAAGGTTTTAAATTTGACCTCTCTGTTCTCCACCCAATTCCTTTACCAAGAAAAATATTTCCTTTTCAGCTCATAGAAACTGTACTTCTCTCTTACAAAGTTTAATTTCATGAAAATACACAAAGCTTATGTCTAAGAATATATGGACTACATTCTTTGTGGCATTTTAATATCCAAAAAGCAAAGTTTAAATTGCATGAGAAGACCAGCAAGATTTCAGCTATGAGATACCAAACTAATGAAAAAAACCACTCTGGTTTTTTAAGCAAGCCAAACATTCCTAAGATTTAAGTGTCTTTAGTCATGATGTGGAGCAGAGAATATTGCTTCCCCAAGACACAAGAGGTGCTATACCAGGTCAAACCAATGATCTATCTGGCCCAGTATCCCATTCTCCAACAGTGGTACCAGCAAACGCTTTAGAGAGAGCATATGAAGACAGAGTATCTGGAGTGAACTATCCCATCATAACTTTCCTGGAACCAGCCAGCATTGGTTTAAAGATGCCAGAGGATTTCCCTGATTGTTCAGTTTAATATCTATTAATAGATTTATTATCCATGAATTTGTGGAGGGCCCTTTCTGAATACTAGCTAGCTCTACAACCTCCTATAATAATGAGTTCCAGATATTGGTTACATGCCAAGTTAAAAAAAAAAAAAGTACTTTCTTTTGTTAGTTTTAAACCATTCCCTGCTAATTTCAATGGGTACTCCCTAATTCTAGTATTTTGGGACTTGGTGAATAACAGTTTCCTGTTCACTTTGTCTGCTCCAGGATTTCATAGACCTCCATCATATCCACCCTCAGCCCCTTCCTTTCTAAACTGAAGAGTCCTAGTGTTTTTAATCTCCTCCTCCTATGCCAGGTGCCCCATACCCTTGATCATTTTGGCTGCCCTTCTCCATACCTTTTCTAATTCTGCTATATCCTTTGTGTGATGTGGAGGCAGGAATCACAAAACATTCAAGGTATGAGTGCACCATGTATTTGTATAGTGGCATGATGTTATTTTCCCTTTTGTTTTCTATTTCCTTCTTAAATGATACCCAAAATTTTATAGGCTTTTGGTGGCTGCTGTGCATTGAGCTGATGTTTTGGAGAACTATCTACAATAGCTAAAAAGGTCTCTTTCATGAGCTAGTTCAGAACCCACCACTGTGCATGCATAATTGAGGTTATTACCTTGTACTCATCAACACTGAGGTGGTCTCCAGGCAGTATCAGGTCTGTTAACCACACTATTACTAGGTATCTGCCCAAAGCATCAATACCTTTTGCCTATTCATTAGAAAACCATTTTTGGTAGCTTTGTAAATAAAAAAATAAGGTACCATGTTGCTAGTCTTGCTAGCCAGAAAGCATGATGCTCAGTTTACAGGGGCAGATACCGTCTTTGATCATGGTCAATGTTGGCTTAAAAATGGTATTTGAAAGCCTGTTTTTTGGGAATTGGCTTATAGATATAGCTACATGCA